ACACACTCTTCGAGTTGTGTATAGCGAACATGACAAAACATACATACAGCATAATCAATACCTTACCCTTCCCGAACCACATAAACAAACGAACTACGGGCTGCGCACCGGTGCCCTCACGGTAAGTCAATAAATGGAACAAAACTCTCTCTCTCTCTCTCTCTCTCTCTCTCTCTCTCTCTCTCTCTCTCTCTCTCTCTTGTGCGAGTTCTTAGGGTCTTAGGGTCTCGCCGCACGGCACACGAAACGAAAACGAAACGAGTGCATCTGCCCACGAAAGGGGGCAAAATACACTGCTTACTATTTATAGCAAACCGATGAACCTGGCCATTTTCTGCAGGAAGATGCACTCATTTCGTTTTTCGTTTCGTGTCCCGTGCGACGCCCTTAGTCTCATTGCTTAGTCTCATTGCTTTGGTTACTTTAGAGCTTCGTTCCCCGCGCCCAGGAGGTGGACAATGTGTTTGCGAAATACGGTCCCACACCCGCCTGTGCCAAGTCCCACTTACCGAATTCTCAATTTCTGACCCTAGTTTACGAAGATAAACGGCCTCAGATGAAGAATCAAGCTAGTGCGACTTGGCCGCCGGTCAACCATGGTGCAGTACCTCCAATACGGTCGTTCTGTCAGAAAAAGAAAAGTAATAAATAAGAAAAGTCGTACCGGCATGTACCCTCCGGCCCAGCTCGACCGGCTGTCCCAACGGTCGTGTACGACGAGGAGCCCTGACTGATGATGGTGAAAGTTACTACGACCAGATGCATTCGGGAAAGTCGCTGTAACGGTATCTATGGAGGCTACGGTAAAAAAGAGCCCTGAGAGCAGCAGTTTCTTTCTCTTTCTGGCCGTTCCAACCTGCGGTCGGTCAACATGGGGTTTAATTTAATTTAATGTGGGGGTTAAGGGGGCTTACGGTTCGAGTTATCAGGTTGACAACCTCGCGGCAGCACTCAATCGCAATCAAATGTGCTATGCTAATGCTAATGCTAAATGCAGAACGTATTAATACGGAAAGATACGCTCCATAGCTATTGTCCTTTTCACATTTGGTCTTGGTACGCAGGGCGACGAGGCCCTGAGAGTTATGACCGGCCGTGGATCACTAGCATCGACGCCCAGTATCTCGTAGTCCCGCTAAGTATCAACTGGGCACCCACCCATTTCCTTATGATAGGGTCCCCATCCCTTCATGTTTTCACAACATCGTTTTCTATTCTGTTTTTCGTTACCACCAGCAGTCATCGGCGCGGTCTTGATTGACACTCTGTTGTTGAGCCATTAGGCCAGGGGCGCGAAACACCAGACGCCACCGCCGCTTCGACCAGCAGCTCTCTCATTTTCTTTTTTTTTTTGTAATCCCCCTGCCCATATTCATCTCGCTTTTCCCTCCCCATTTCAACTCCATGAAGATAACAAGCCTCGAACAGCTGATGTTTCGCGTCTGAATCCCACGCATTAGAATCGCTGTCGAAGACTGCAATACATTCGCTTCGCACATGCCTCTCTCTCTCTCTCTCTCTCTCTCTCTCTCTCTCTCTCTCTCTCTCTCTCGCAGATGATGTTCTAGTAGCAATCTCTGGTTTCGCACATGCAGTGAAGCTCTCTCTCTCTCTTTCTCTCTCGCAGATGATGTTCTAGTAGCAATCTCTGGTTTCGCACATGCAGTGAAGCTCTCTCTCTCTCTCTTTCTCTCTCGCAGATGATGTTCTATTTGCAGTCTCTGGTTTCGCACATGCAGTGAAGCTCTCTCTCTCTCTCTCTCTCTCTCTCTCTCTCTCTCTCTCTCTCTCTCTCTCTCTCTCTCTCACAGATGATGTCCCAGTCACAGTCTCTGGTTTCGCACATGCAGTGA